CCGTCGTCTTCTGGTGGAACCGACCTTCGAATCTCTTCAGCCAACACTTCTACTCGAAATGGAAGTAATCTCAGCTCATTAAGCCAAACTAGACGTACGAGATTACACAGCCCCAGTCATGCCCTTGCTGGGATGGTTCAACGTAAATGACCCTAGACAGAGAGGTTAGAACGGATGGTTTTGTCTCTTGACTTACACACTTGCAAGTCTACATTTAATTAGCTCAAGCACACTTGCTAACGGACCTACACAGTCTTGGTCAGGGCTTTTTCTTGGGTCATTAGGTTTTGATGATCAGAGCCTGACAGGAGCCTTTTTGATCTCTCCGATTTAGGACCGCTTTTGTGTATAAACGCTAGCACACACACAAACACGAGCAAAAGTAGCAGGACCAATAGGAAAGATAGTTAGACAAACCATTCTATATCTATCTACGTTTTTTTAATTTTCCTCTGCTTAATCGAGTCTCTATAAGAGGTAAGATAGAGCCGGATAGTATTCTCGTGTTAGTGTTAACTTGAGACTTTTACACGAATGAGTTTCAGCTCTGAGGATGTGCATAAAATGATGCACGAAAGCTCAGGCCGTTTTAACCAGAAAAGAGGGAGGAGATCTCGTGGACTGCGTCAATCTCAACGTTGTATTAAAGCCAGACGGCTGAAGTACAACACGATTCATCCGTCCTCTTCTGATAAGCGTGACCTTCAAATCTCTTCTTCATGCACTTTCATCGCAAATGAAAGTCCCCCCAACAATGTTATCTCAGGAGATTCATTAAAACCCAGTTACACTTCGTACCTCTGGCATAGGTATTTAAAAATGCCAGCGAATATGCATAGGCGTGGAAACGATAATATAGAAAAGTGGAGCACATTGCTCTGATGGTCCACAACAGAATTGAGCTTAAACAGTGAAAATTTATACGAGTGAAAGGTTATTGAAGTCTTGGACATCCTTATTTAAAAAAATTAATAAAAAGATTGGAATATAGTATAGTTAGTGATAAAGAAGGCCGTGAATCAGCCAGATCAACAATAAGGGACATTTTGATCGAGGATATAATTTGAGCAATAAGTAAAGAAATCGAAAGGAAAAATTATAAACAAGACCACTTATAGACAGTTAAAAAAACAGCTTTAATCCCATCTAAAGCAAACTATTCAAGCACTGAAAAAGCAAGTTCAATGCAACCGAACGATTAGTATGAATTAGCCAGCTTACCCCTGGCCTATGCTGTGAAGGTAACAATGTGAATAATCTTATCATCAAGATTTACTTTTCGTGCAAATTGTTCTTTGGTTCTGTTGAAGATGGCTTATCTGAAAGCATGGTTACATGGACCGTCCTGGTTGGCCTGTTTGCGAGAACTGGGAAAAATGCGACTCTGTGGCAGTGTACATATTCTTAATTCCACGTATATAATTTTTAGGCCTGATGTGTCTTCAAAGTAGCGATTCAGGCTTGACTCCGTCCTTCCTAGGCCGTCACCCTTCGCACGCCTTTCCCCAATATTCTCTCGTCGATAAATATACAATGGATCAACTTTAAATTATATGTGAATTCAGTTGTGTTATTTAGTTTTCTCTGAACAGAGAACTGCTAGTCTATCGAAGTGGCAAACATTCTGCCTTATTTTCCGAGTTAGTCTTCATATTATAAGAAGTCAAGTTTGAATTAGAGAAGATCTCGCTTATTCGCCGTTTCAATTTCATGAAATACCTGAACTTCTGTTTCATCGTCTCAAGCTGAGATCATAAGCAGAGTAATATAGAGCCCAAGCTTTTTTATTGCCCAACAAGCATAATATATACATATGAACTAGAAAAGTATACTATGGAAACCAGATATCTGGGTCTCAGACGTGTCTAAGGAGCTAGAAGCATTATGAGGGAAATTCCCTAGATGCAAGCTAGAAATAAAAAAATTTAACCGGTAAAGATTACAACGAAATGCAGATTTAATAATATTGAGCATATATTTCTATCCCCAAATTATGAATGATCACGCTGAAATCGAAATTAGGATGCAAAAGTATACAAAAGATATTCATTTCATATTTATTTATATAGAATGCATATATATTATTAATCAAGGATATCTACCAATCATCCTCAAGACAGCAAAGCGTTGCTGGGACCATTGAAAAAGCAAAATAGTGAATAAAAAAGTGAGGTGAAAGGGACAATGCATCTTATAAATTTGACTTGCCTTCTTAATCTCGTAACGCGTCAAAAAGGCATGCAAGAGTATGTCATAATAGCGTGTCAAGCGAATGTGATCAGTGGTTGCCTCGCCAACAGCGCCCGTTGCGCTGGCGGCACCAGCTTGAGATAAGGTTGCTAAGGGTACAAATGAGGGCTCGAGAAAACGAAGAAGGCGGATACCAGAGGGGCCGGCAATGGGGAAGAGGCGTTGGAAACCACCAAGACTTGCGCGATGCCATTCGTCAACTGATTCGACCAAAATTCGCACATCGTCTGGGGTCAGGTCATCAATGATACCAGAATAATCAGAGCAATCCTACAAAAGTAAAATATAAAATAAGACATTGTGCGCAATATTGCCTAAATATAGATATCCTAGAAGGCAATACAAAAATGCAATTAAAAAAGCGTTAATAGGCAAAATTCAAAAATGATAAAAATTGTATTATAGAACCGCCAAGTATGAAGTATAATGGATAAGTTAGAAAGAGCAAATCAATTGGAAACGAAAGACAAAAAGCACATAGGCTCTATGAGTGGCAAAAAATGGAACTCTTAGACATAAAAGCGAGTCTGAGGTATACCTAGACGATTAAAATAAAAAATAGCAGCTACACATTTACTGACGTTTATCCTTAAGGATATTTAAAAAAATCCAAAACGAAACTCATAATGAAATCGGTTTATATACATACATACATACATACATACATATATATATATATGTGTGTGTGTATGTTTTTGAAAGACAGTTTTTAATCCAGTTAAACTCTATCAAAATATAAAATTTTGGTTGTATACTAATGCTTTCCTAAAGCGATTAGCCATATTTACCACGATTCAAGTACCCTCACTTTCGATAAGATGAGTTTGTTGTGCTCCGAAGGACGTGGACGGCCTCTAAAAACATAAAGCGCTTAGCCCTAAAAACTCCAAAGATGGAGGTCCCGAAATGAAGAGAGAAAAGGAACAAATAGTGTCCTATTTTGAAACGGACGAATAGAGTATGGGGAGGCTGACAATAGAAAGACAAGCATTAAAAGATAGCGCCAAATAGAAGGGGACCGACGTATAGAGAATGTTATCTAGAAGTGGGTTAACCTCGTTGTCACAACCTGGTCTTGTTGTCAGGGCGACTTAGTAGAACGCACCTAGTACTAAGTCATCTGCCATAGTAGTTATCATGAGTCCCAGCACCAGACAGTGGACTTTTTACATTCTTAAATATTTCGCCGACATCGTAGTCGGCATCATCAGTGAGTGCTGCCATTATCCGCACCAAGCGACGAACTCGTCAAAGAGACAAGCAAAGTCAATACATCGAAATACGTTCTGCCGAAAACGGTTATACTATCACTCCTCTTTCTGTTTTGGCCTATCTATCTACTCTTTACTCTCTAATTACACTGCCGACCTATCACAGCTTCTCACTTGTTTACATTCCACTCGTCAAAATGTGTGCCCTTTTGTCGCCAAGCTAGTGTGGCCTCATCACAATTGCTATTTACCCCGACATCTTTTTTTTCGATCGGCTGATCCGACTCGGGTCTCCAATCCGGATCCTCGGATTGACGAGTTCGTAGCTTGGTGCAGAGAATGACAGCACTCACTGATGATGCCGACTACGATGTCGGCGAAACATTTAAGAATGTACCAAGTCGACTGTCTGATGCTGGGAATCATGACAACTTCTATGCGTTCTACTAAGTCGCCTTGACAACAAGACCAAGTTGCGACATCGAGATCAACGCATTTCTATCATTCGAAAGGAGACTGCGACCATACCAAAGGGTATACCATCTTCTCTTAATATCTTCAAGAATGTTATCTACTTGAAATACCCTCGCGTACTTTTCCATGTCAACTAATGATTGGATGATGTGGTGCCAAGCTTTGATTGGGCGACGGGAAATAAAGAGTGAAGAGTAGTCACGACCTCAAAGTTGAATAATAAAGATCACCTTAAGGAATATTTAGCCACAAAATAACTATGCGAAGAAAAGTTGGGTTTAGAGGAATCTCTTGTTTTATAATTGTTAAATGAAGGTGTTGGGTGAAGAGAATTAAAGGTCGGTTCCTCCAGAAGACGACAGCGGATTCCTCTTGACCAGCTGTCGATCGGCTTTACTGGAACATTCATGCTGACGCCGGTGAAAAGGTGCTAAGCTTTTGTCCGTCAAATAACGAAAATCATCAGAGCAAGTTATCATCGTCACAACCAAATTCAAGA